TAAAAAAAATTTTTTGGGGGGGGGGGGGGGGGGGTTTTTTTTTTTTTTTGGAGGGGGGGGGGGGGGAAGGGGGAAGATTTTCCTGGGGGGGGGGGGGGGGGGGGGGGGGGCGTACTCTTATGCTTTGCATGCCTTAGCGGTTAGACCATTGACCACGCGTCCTCGAGAGGACGGAGCATTGTTCCCACAGGACCGATCACCGATGGCCAATCGTTCCTTCCTACTTTGCCAAAGGTGGCTCAAAAATGTCTTCCCTAGTCTGTCTATCCTACCGATGTCACTTCCCGCCTTTTCAAACCACTTCCTACTCCCCAGTACCGCTACCGTCCTCTCCTCTCTATTCCATGCCTCAAACATCTCCCTGTACGTCCCTTGTATTCTTCCCAGCTCAGTCATGTACACTTCCCTCTCCTTTTCGTACCACGGACATTCCGCGACTACATGAACACGGTCTTCGCATTCGAAGCCCCAATCACATTTGAACTTGTCGTCTTCGTCGTCTACCGTCCTATGTCTTCGTCGACGTTCGCGAAGGCCTATGTCCCCGGTCCTGAATTTGACCTTAAGCTTTGTCCCTGCATCCATTGGTCCATGTAGGTAATCCTTGAACCCTATTCCTTCTTTCAACATTCCGTACACTTCTAGACCCTCCTTATCCTTGGATTCTTTCCTTAGATTCTGTTCTTCTCTGTCGGCACAAGCAACAGATATCTTCTTCTTGAACCCCCTGTAGACCCTCCGTTTCCAGCGTTTCATCTTCGTCGATGTCCAATCCCTTCCATACGTCCTCTACAACCTTGACCCATTCCGTGGGTTGTCTACCCCTCTTTTTATTTGCCCACTTCGCCTCCCATACTATTCTCGGCAACCTCTCCTCTCCCATCCCGCACATGCGGTACTGCCATGTCAGCTTCCTTACGTCTCTTCCCGACCGTAGGGATTGGATCCCCAATTCTGCCCTGACTGCTGCATTACTTGTGCGCTTGGAGCATCCTAGGATAATTTTCGCTGCTTTCATCTGCGCCGCCTCGAGTTCTTTCACTACCTTCTTATTTCCTTCCCATACTTCTCCGGCGTACTCCAGCGGCGGTACGATTACGCTCTTCAAAACCGTCAATTTGATGCGTGTATCAAGGTGCCGGTTTGCGAGTATTGGGTGCAGCTTCCCTGCTCGTGCTTTGCCCTTTTCCGCTACCTTGGACATGTGTGCATTCCACGAGCAATCTTTTGCGATCTCTACTCCGAGGTATGTGTACTGGTCGACTACTGCAATCTCCTCGATCCCCCACTTCCATCTATGTTCTACTGGTTCCTCCCTGCCCTCGTTGCATACCATGACGGCACTCTTCGTAACGTTGGCAGACAATCTCCACTTATCAGTAAACTTCTTCGCCGCGTCAATTTGCAGTTGCAGTCCCTCAGGGGTGTCCGACATACCAACAAAGTCATCCGCAAACAGCATTCCTGACACCGAAGTTTCCGTGTCCCCTACTTTTACTCCCTTCCGGACTGCCTCTACGACTTCCAACAGATCGTTGATGAACACCTGGAACAATGTTGGGGACAGCGTGCAACCTTGTGGGACCCCTTGCTCAATGTCGAAGAATTTAGACAGTTCTCCGTCTAGCATGACCGCGCTTTTCGTACACTCTGTCATCTTCTTCAGCACCCTCCACATTTTCCCCTTGATCCCGTACTTGGACAATTGTTTCCACAGCCCATTTCTCCATACGGTATCGTATGCCTTTTTCACGTCCAGGAAGAAGCAGTACGTCCGCTTGCCCGCCCTCTTTCTACCTTGGATGATTCTCCCTACCGTGAATGCGTGGTCTACGCACCCCCTCTTCTGTCGGAAACCTACCTGGCCCTCACTAATGCTACGTTTCTTCTCCAATACTCCCACTATCCTATCGTTCAGCAGCTTACAGAACACTTTTCCTACTGTGTTCAACAGTGTGATACCCCTGTAGTTTCCTGGGTCAGTCTTGTCTCCTTTCTTAAACAAGTTCACAACCACTCCTTCCCTCCATCTACTTGGCGCATACTCGTTTTTCCACACCCAGTTGTACAGCAGTACCATCAGCTGGATCATCCCCTTGCCCCCAAACTTCATGAACTCGTTTACTATCCCATCCGCCCCTGCTGCTTTGTGGCACTGCAGCTTGTTCACACACGCCTCAACCTCGTCCTCAGTGAACTCCTTTTCTAGTTCTACGTTCCCAACGTCTGCCTTCGATGTCTCTTCTTCTTTCTGGGCCCATGCGTCCACCTCCTTCTTAAACACTTGGTCAAAATCTTCATTCTCCGAAGGCACTCCAAGTCTCTTGTAGTGTCCTGCTAGAACTTCCCTTTTTCCCTTCCCACTGCTGACTAGTCCACCGTTCACACTTCGCAATGTTGCTACCCCCGTATCCCCCCCTTGCGCGGTCTTTTTTACCATCCCACTAATCCCTTCCCACATCTGCTCCCGGGGGGGGGGGGGGGGGGGAAAAGGGGGCCATTTTTTAACACGGGATGCCCCCCTTGGTTTTTTTTAAAAATGGTCTTTCAGGGGTCCCAAAACCCTTTTGGGCAACTAA